AAAACCATTTTCAAATTCCGCCGTTTTCGCATTTTCTTACCGCGCTAAGCGATTGGCTTACAAAATGTCGCGCCACTCTGTCATCGAAACAGAAGTAAAACCAAACAAATCGTGACTCGCTTGCAAACGTCAGTTTTCGCGCGCTTGGCGCCGGACGGCAGCGTTTTGATTGGTTAACTGGATTGTCTGTGTAGGTTGTGATTGGCCAGAGTGACTACTGCTCTAATTACTGAATGTTTATAGGTCAAGCTTGTATCATTACGGGCATGACGGACGACTGGAAAGCGATGAACAAATGGCCATTTGAGAAGTTTCAACACGATCCACGTCTTGAGGAAGGCGTTTACATTGGTCAGCGGACCACGCTAGTGCCTTTAACAAGTTACGTGAAATATCTGAAGGAGAGAGCTGCCAATGAGACTTCACCCTGGGTTATCTTCATGCCAGATGTGTTTGATCTGTATCCCGAGCTACGAGAGGTTGAGTAAAATAATACACCTTGTGGTACAGGAAGGGAGGGTGGAGGATCAGATGTGTTGATAGCCCAATCTGGTTCGCAAGGAACGCCCATACAATTCAGAAATGCAATTGATGTAACAAGCATAGACCAAATCTAAGAAACTAGATTTTTTCCCCTCCCTCTTAATTCTCTTTGCGCTTTTCCTAGCAGCCTAATATATTTTTCTAGTTCATCCGAGTTTACTTCGCGTTTGTGTTTGCTATTGCTTTGCACTTGRGTATCAGARATTYGGTTKWAAAATTATTAGATAAAGAAATACTGTTTTCTTAAGGGAAATATGTTCCATCAACAGACAGGTATTTTTTTTTATTTTTTATTMTGTTGTTGTTATCTCAGAGCTGTCCAAGGAAGTATACGTTACTACAACGAAAAAACGAGCACTGTAAACCCTGTTTTTATTGCATATTTTTTTAAAAAAAGTATATGTATYCAAAGTGGACCGAATTTTAAAACGTTCTAATGTCCCGTCCACACTACGCCGGAAGAATTTGAAAACGCAGCTTTATTTGTACAGTTAGGCCCACTGTCCACACTAATCCGTCACGAAAACGGAGCTTTTCGAAAACGTTCTTCAAACCGGAGGAATTTGAAAACGCCGGCTTTTCTTTTTCGTATGGACAGCAAACATTTTTTAAAAGTAAACGGAGCTCTTTGAAAACGCTGACCTCCCGATAATCATGTGATTTTCCTGCCCCAATTTCTTTTTCAAGCACAAATTCGAAATGACCGGTGATTGTTGCGTTTTCTTTTTTCTTTTTACAAATTTCACCGGCCTAGTGCGGACGGAAAACATTTGAGGCGTTTTCAGAGTGAAACCTCCGTTTTCAAATTCCTCCGGCGTAGTGTGGACTTGGCCTAAATAATCGTTCTCTTTTCGAAGGAACCAGCTTTATGAACCCCTTTTTGTTTTGGTTTAGGACTATACCGTACCGGATTTCTTCTCTGAAGCAGACGACTTTTTGACGGGTGTAGAAGATGAGCTTCGTCTTGACTGGCGCTGGATCATCATGGCTGCCAAGAGGAGTGGCTCAGGATGGCATGTAGATCCGGCTAATACAACCGGGTGGCTGGCTCTTATACAGGGGGCTAAACTGTGGGGAATGTACCCTCCGTCTGTGTACCACATCCCAGGTCTGTGATAGGGAGGTGGTAGGCACCCGCATCGTAGAAGTCATGGGTTCGAATATTTTTTCAGGCTTTATTGTTCCAACTCCCAAAGTTGTGTACCTAAATGGGATGATCACTCATGTCTTTTTAATCAACCTTTATTGAGGATCACATTCCAATGCAAAAACACGAGTAAAGCTGGGGGTTACACTGGGGGAACGTACATTTGCTTCCAGAAACAGAAGCAAAAGGTTGGGGAGGGGGGGTGAAGGGGGAGGGGGGAAGGAGTAGCGACTGACTAAACTGGCCAAATTCGGGGGGGGGGGGAGGGTAAACAATAGTGCAACACGCCTTCCATTTTAGTTACATTCCAGTTAAGTTCGAACTATAGTGACCTAAACTGTGATTAGAGATGCGTCTACCCTCCATAAATTCCAGACCATGACCCGATAATCAGCATGGTGCATTGTGCATGAATGGCGTTAGTAGGCGGGGTGACAACCTAAATCTTAGAAGGATATCGTTCATTAGTGGAAACTGTGATACTAGCGTTTTATCGCGAATGCCTTTCTCTGATTGGCCACACTACTCACTATCTATTCTGTTGTAGATTGTGAATTGCGGTAGTTAAAAAAATGACGGCCGCTTCTTTGCGTTTTCGAAGTGTCTGTGAAGAGGATTTAGATGAGGTTTTGAGCGACTAGTAGATTTATACTAAAACAATGAGATTATTCTTTCTCGATTTCTATGATAGTTGATAATTAGCGTGATAGTTGACGAGGGTGGAGCCCGAGTCAACTATCACGCGATAGAAATCTCGCGTTCATATTGTAATTGTTAACTAGATCTTTTCTCGATGTTCTAGGTGTCAAGAACAACTTCTACCAGAAAAGAGATTATGACATGGAGGATGCGTTTTACTGGTGGATTTATACTCGACCATACTTGGTATGAAATTAACCAGTTTATTTGTCTGAATCAACTGGAAGCTGCCAACCTCGTGTACATCAGCAGGAACCCTAGTCCATCTCTGGCTCTCTTCTCTGTCGCCAAGCGCAACCCTTTCAAGAACTAGTTTATTCCAGTAATTACACCGCTGATTAAATTACGCCTAAAGGTTGCACAAGAATTCTTTTCTGCTGTTTGTGTCTTACCCAAGAAAATGTATCTTCAGTTTTTTCTCCGCGCATTTGTCAAAAAATAACAGTGGAGAAATTGAAATTAAAAGTCGCGAATGAGAAAAGAGAGCAATTAGAAGCAGAGGAGAAGCGCACTAGAGTCTAATTCTCACAGCCATGTTAAAAGAAAAAGACATTCAAAAACATGGCCCATATAATTATAGACAATAGTCTCTTTTCGGTGCAAGAATATCAATCGAATATTTCCCTGTTTAGGCTAGTGAATATTCAGTCACGTGACGCGTTCAGACCAATCGCGCGCGAGCGAAAATATTGGATGGATTGTAAAGCGTTATAGCTAGTATTGATAACTGATACTGAAACTGATTTGTCAAGTCACCAACTTTGTTGTGTTAAATGTTTGCTGATTGTTGTTTATTTTGTTCCCATGACGACAGAAAAGTAATCTTCCCATCGAGTGCGTACAGAAGCCGGGTGACATTGTGTTCATCCCTAGCGGCTGGTGGCACAGTGTTCTAAATCTTGACCATACAGTTAGCGTCACACAAAACTTTTGTAACAAATACAGGTGAGCTCCGTCACGCCATCCAACGTTAGTTCGTCTTGCTTGCTGGCGTCCATCAAACAAAAACCGATGTTTGCCTCCTGCCCAGACGTTCTTATGGCTTGTCACGTACTCCTACCTACCTAATAGAAAGATTACGTGACGAGCCCAAAGCGCGTCTGCGTAAGAGACTAAACCTCTGGTTTAGTACATGTCACATGTCACATGGCAGACGTCTTTAACTCACAAAAGCAGTGCTAAATTTTAGAAAGTTTGATTATCCAAAGAAAGGTTCACTCTACTCTTCGTATCTTTTTTAGCTTCAAATTTTGATTTTGGTAGCTGGTCGGACTAAGGCGTTTACTGAAGACGTGTAGTCGTGGTCTTAAGCCGTTATAAAATCATCCATTCAATACATTTGAAGTAGCGGGGTTATCATCAGTGTGACAATGGCCGAATTTACCAGGAAGAGAAATAATTCGTGCCACAAATATATTGCATCTCATCTTAGCGTATAGGTAAATTCCAGACGCTTAAAATTCGTATGCTAAGAAAAAGCTATTGAGCGATAGACCACGTGTTAGTAGCTTGATTACAGATTTTAGTTCAGCGTATTCAGAGTTAAAGTAAATTCGTCTGTTTCATACGTCTCGTGTTAACCTAGACGAATAGGATAGAAAAAAATACGTCTGAAACCATCTCGACGTGTAATACGGTTATGACGAAATATATAAGTCTGATCGAGACGCTTCACTCATGTGAGATGCATTGATCGCCGGTTTTCCTACATGAAGGTAAACACAGTAAAAACGTAACGTCGGAGCAATTAAACGTGACTTGCACGACAAATCGGGCTGCTTTATTCTTGAACAATAAATATACTAGTTAACACCCATTAAAAGCTATAATCTGAATTGCACTTTTATATTGTTCTTCTTCACAATTAGCTTAAGAACGTGTCTAACGGAGCTAAAGGAGCAAGCTGACAGTGACGGAAACTTTATCGGAAAAACTTTTGAACAGCTCAGAGAACTGTACGCCGAGAAATATCCGGAGTATTTTGAGGAAGATGATCTGGAGTTTGAGGCACCCATCCAAGGACATGGACTAACGGAGGCAGATGAAAAGTCGAGAAGGCTGGAAGCCTTAAAAGAATTTCTTTCTGGGAAAAGCCAAACAATTGTTTGAAGCTTGGTCGTCGAGAGGAACCTCTAGCAACAGATTAATTTAGAACACTGACTAAACTTAGAAATTAGAGGCAGAAGGTTTGGTTTGTTCGTTCATTTTGGTTTCCCTTGACATCATTAGCGGTCTCGATCTGATGTTGGAGCGGAAAAATTCTCAACCTCGTTCCCAGGGTCCCCGAGAAGACCTCGGAGCGAAGTTGCAAAATTCAATAACAATGACCGAGCCGAATTTCAGATTGGTTGATATCGCGTGTCGAAAATCCGTGTGTAACTAAGCAACACACGATCAGAGTCATGGACCTCAATAGTGGCACCGAAGCAGGGTTAAAGGCTGCCTACTATTTAGCCAAAAGATCCTGAAATTTAGATTGAAAATTAAAACAGTAATTTTCCAGAAAATCAGTTGGGAAGTTGTAGACTGCCTTCAAAGGCACTCCTCTTTTCCCGTTCGAAACGAAAGGGCGGAAATTCACTTACCATGTGCTTAATTTCCCAGTTTCCAGTCTCCCATCAGCCGTAAAAAAAAATTATGGGAAATCGAATCCTCCGTAGAAAAAAAAGATGGCGACTGATACATTTACCCATAGTTCGTGACGCACAAAAACTTTAACAACGCTCATAAAAACGCCGTTCAGAAACGGTCTGCTGACATCTTAAAACCTAACATACACGTATACGATGTCGTTAGCACACGGACAAATATTAACATTGCAAAAATATAACTTTCCTTGCAATTTATGGACTGTGTAAGGCTAGCATGGTATTGTGGTAAAATGTTCAGCCGCCATCTTTGACATCGTTTTTTCCTATGGAAGATTGTAAATGGCAAGCTCCCCTTTGAATTTTGAGACCGTCATTACCTCTATCCAACAATCATTCTGACCGGTCTACTTCGGCAGATGGTAGGCACTCAATATTTCTGGCTGGAATTTCAGAAGTCTTCATGATCAACCTTACTGACTGAATGAGCGAGCGACACGAAACCGTGTGTTTTCTATAACCCAGGGCATAATCTTTCTTTAGTAGAAGTCTGGTAAAAATAGTGTGCAGAGGAAAGTGTTAGTAAGCCTTCAAATCGTATTAGCATGTTTTGGGAGGCATATTCGTAAATTTTACTAAATGTCATTCATTCAAAATAAAAACGTGACTGAACGCCTTGCAAAAAAAAAAAAAAAAAAAAAAAAAANATCAGTGCTAAGAATAGCCCACTTCCAAACTACCTTGTGCCTAAGTCATGTCTGTTTCAAAGCGAGTCACCGTGCAAAACATTTCATATGAAAATGAAATCGATTTTCATGCAAATGAACCTGAAGGCGAAACAAAATGGCCTTTTCGCGTGAATTCATTTCTGGCATTTTCTATACTTGCAACATAGCAGGCACGATGACTGAACTCTCAAATCTTCGTTTTGGGGGGGCAAAAATCCGACCGACAAATCCTAAACATTACCAGAGAACCTATGTTCCATTGAACGTTTGTTTGAAGACTCTTGGAGATTCAGTGAGGGCTCCTCAAAGATTTCTCCAAAGATTTTCCAACGATTTTCGAACGTCGGCAGTTGTTTCCGGCATAATAGTGTTTCGCAGATGGTCGAAGATCCCCAATATGTGCATGTCATGTTCATGTTAATTTCGCCATTTAAGTTATAAACATCTAAGATATGGCATAATTAATATCACTTGTAGTTTAGTCAGCATTTGCACTAAATTTCCGCAGTTACTTTCCACCACTTGAAACCCTCTATTTTCATTCGCTGTCGTTAAACTGCACCTCATTTGTTCTTAGGACTGAGGGCATGTTGTGTTCGGCTTTACAACTGAACAACAACAACAAAACTTTATTCTTTTTTCATTAATTTACAGCCATGAATTTTAGGTTAATGAGTTGTTTCCGTGTGGTACATCTTCACCTTCTTCGTAAAAATTATTAAGTTGGAAACTTAAATATAATAACAGCGTGAACCCGCAGTAGTTTTTATCCGTAGTGTTCCGTTTGGCTAGTTATATAGAGCCTCGCATATGACATGGTGCAGGTTGCCCTAATTGCCGTTGTCCGTTTTTTCGTGTCTCTAGAAATTTCTGAAATTACTTGAGGATAATTACACTTAACCTTTACTCAGCATTTTTCGATGACTCTTAATGTTTAAATTAGTTATATTCACAGAGAAACGCTAACTTTTCAATTTTAACATGACCGGGCGGTCTTGGCTTGGTTGTCATAGAGCCGTTGATTTCAATTGGTTCCCACAGAGCCTTCAATGGGCAAACAGACAGGCCGGTTGTCATTTGAGCTACAGATGTTGTAAAATGTCAGTGTCGATTCCCTGTTACATACATGCTCTCGATGCCAGTTGTCAATATTAATATATGTTCTGTTTTACCAGCCTTGTCAGATTCTTTGTGTCTTTTTTAAACACGGGTAAGGAAATTTACATCGTCTAATATCCTGTTACTGTTTACCGGAGACATGCCATCCGTAGGCGATTTTTTATGTTTTTTTTTTTACCTTTCTTTTCTTAGACTGTCTTCTAGATCTTACTATAGTCTGTTTTATGATTTATTAGCACTTAATTCTATGGAGAAGCTCCATGCAAGGGACTAAACAAAACGAGTTACCGTCCATGGTTGAGGTCAAGCAACCATGTTATGAATTACAACCTAAATTATTATTGCAAGATACCTTAAACGTTGCAAAATTAACGTTACTGTCTACACATTAGAGATATTATATATAAAAACCATATTTTTTTAAAGTCACAAGCAGCGGTAAGAACATTATTTTTTTTTCTTAACCAGAGATGCTTTTTCTTGCGGTCCACCATTACCATTATTTCCTTGCAGACAACGGCGTAAACCCTCGACAGATTAAAAATTAAATTTTACATAATACTTCCAAGTCGTTTAAAATAAACTCCACATTCTAGTACTACCACAACAAATTATCTACACTGAAAAGAGCCCAGAAATTCCCGCCGAAAGTCTCGATTTGCCACCCCGTATATCAAGGGGTTAATAACTGCTGAAGTAAATGCCAACACTGTGTACAACTCAGGCGCGAAATCGGGCAACTTCACGGTCGATGAATGGGCTAAAATGCCAATGATTATGACAGGGATCCAACACACAAAGAAACCAAGGACTACCAAAAACAGTAGCTTTGTCACACGTAATTCCCACGCGTTCATCGCAACTTGTCTCCGCTGTCCTGCGCGAAGCGATGGCCCAACGTTAGCATTATGCTGCCGTACTGTCCTGAAAACGTTCGCATAGCAATAGACAATAATGATTAGTGGAATAAATACGTGGATTAAATGTAGTGAGATACCAATCGCTCTCTCATGCTTCTTGCTGGAAAAAGTTCCAATACAGAAGAAGAATCGTGCGTCGTACTCGTATATTACTGGTCCAACGAAAGTCGATAAGAAACCGTCAAAAAGCGTTAAGACCCACACCGCTAATATCATGAAGACACTTGACTTTATCGTGAAGTAGTTGGGGTATATGTGCGCTTTTACCATGCGAAAATACCGGTTGACTGCGGTTAAAGCAAGCGTTGGAACAGAAATTCCGCCCCAGTAGTAGATAAGAAAGCCGTTGAATTGGCACAAGTCATAACCGTGAATCCAGCCATCTTCAAGAAAGGCCTGAATGCAGAACGGAAAGCAACAGATCGCTACCATGAGGTCTGAGACAGCAAGCGCTAAAACATACAAGTATGGAACGGTCAGATTCTTTCGCTTTCTGTAGACCGCCCAGCAAACGAAGCTGTTCCCACAAATGGCAAGAACGTTCATTGTCACCAAAATACATCCTTGGATGGACTTATGAGTTGTACTTCTTGAATGTTCTTCCATGTTTAGCGGTCTGTAGTACATTCTGATTACTGTGCGTTTACTGAAACCGGGGCCACCCAGACAGTGAAAACCAATCATATGGCAGAACTGAAACAATAGATTCCAACATTTTCAAATCCAGCCAATCAAAACAATGAAATCTCAACTTGTTCATTGTGATGCTTACGCTGAAATTGTCAAGCTGAAGCTGTTAGTACTTTCGCGTTAGAAAATAGTGTGTTACAGTAGAACCCCGCTAACTCGAACTCTGAAGGGAAACGAAAATCTGTTCGAGTTAGCGGGGTTTCGAGTTATCGGGGTCGATTAAAATATTCAATTTTTTAGGTTAATAATTAAACGTTTATTGATTTTCAGCACTTCGGTATACAATGTACAGTAGAACCCCGCTAACTCGAACTCTGAAGGGAAACGAAAATCTGTTCGAGTTAGCGGGGTTTCGAGTTATCGGGGTCGATTAAAATATTCAATTTTTTAGGTTAA